AGTCGGCTTCTCCGTTCACCAAGGAACAACCACAGACTGAGTAAACCCTGTCCGCCCACCATCAAACAAGACAATCACTGGAACATCCCACTGAACCAAATTTCCCACTGAGCCTGAACTACCCGCAGTGTCTTCCCCTCACTTTCCAGTTCCTGTTAGACAGTGTTCAGAGCAACACTGGACTCATCTCTATATTCTAAATAAACCTGTTAAAACTTTTCCCTGGTCTCTCTGTTTGGTCTTCTGCATTTTGGGTCAGACCTTTAGATAAGATCATGACAGTTAACCAAATCTAAAGTTCAGTTCGAACAACAATTTTTGTTAATACTTCTATAAAAAAGGAAGAGCAGTTAGGTAAATATTAAGTAAAATATTTTAAATTAAGTAATAGATAATTTTAGGCTGGAAGGGAAAAAAAATATATTTTTTTTATTCTTTACTGTTCAATATTCTGTGTTTCAGCTCGATAGATGACACACATTTAATCCGAGGTGTTAAGACTGAACATTTTTTTATCAGAGCTGATTATACGAAAAAAAAAAAACTAATATTTTGCAAAAAAAAAAAAAAAAAAAAACGTTTTTAGTTTACAAACGATTACATCCAAGGGGAAAAAAAAAAAACAACAAAAACATGACTTCAACCAGTTTTTAAGGAAATGATTTGAATAAATAAGGCTTCATGCTCTTAAGTGATCTGGAATAAATCACTTCATCCTTTGAGGCACATAGTTGTACTGAATGAAATATTTAAGGCAAAATGCAAAAGTGAAACAAAACAAACAAGAATTTTTTGTAAACCTGGGTGAATTTAAGCAAACCAAAACTAAATCTGGACGACTAGATTATAAAGTGAATCACAAATTATTTCATGCCCCTTTCAACCTTTCCAGATTGGTCACATTACGACTACAAACAGTGATCCTATATATAATTATATTATTTAACAGAACATTTATGTAATTTGACAGATCAGGATAATTTTAAAGCTCTGAAGAGAGAAAATTTGCTAATAACATTCAACCAAAGCTTATACTGCTGTTTGATTGAAACTTAATAAGGTATTTGAGGCATTCCTCATCATATGTTAGAGTGAATTGGCATAAAGAAAGGCAGAAATAACTTGAGTTTGTCGTGTTCTAGATTACATACAGCTGTAGCTGTTTTAATCAAAGTATAGATTTATAAGTAGATACTTCTATACAAATACACGCCATATTTTTCATATCTTTACAAGGAAAATATTTTCTTCGTTTAATTTCACACAGAAGCACTACTTTGTGTTTGTTTATCACATACATTTCAAATAAGACTCACATTAAATATGGTTAATGTGACAAATATAAAGAAGCTAAAGCAGTGGGAATACTTCTGAAAGGCATAATAAAGTGAACATGGCATAAAATCAGTGCTGAGATCTCGGCTGGGGCCTTTCTGTGTGCAGCGTCATGTTTTTTTAATCCCTCGGATTCTCTGGCTTCTTTCTGCGTGTTCCACTGATTAGGTTTCAAAAACGATCATCCATGTTAGTGTGTGTTTTTTCTGGTTAACTGGAAGCATAAACCACCGCGGCTAAATCCGCCAGACGTTGATGGATTGTCGTGTTTAGCAACGCTGCGTTGAACAGGTGTGCTGCATGTCATCACAGGAATGCTTTCTTTATTAGTAAAGACATTTTTTCCCAATGAAAATAAAAAAAGGAGGATAGTTTAAAGGAATAGTACACCCAAAACATGATTAGCCTTCATTTTCTACTCACCCCCATGCTGAACAACACCCTGGAGTACTTTTTTGATATCTCAAATGCATCTGGAGATCTGGGAGGCTTCTTGCTGTCTGCTGACATTCAAATAATGGAGGTCTATGGTGCCCGAGACAGAAAGGTCCATAAAAGTCCACAAAAACGTGTCAATATTCCTCCATACTGCTCGTCCAATGTATTCCAAGTGTCCTGAGTGGGTAGCATCCAGAATTTACTCGAAACTAAGTCATTTAGAATGTTTTTAGAGCATAAACAGTAGTGTATAGGATAATCATGGCTATCAAGGCTAATCATGTTTTGGGTGTACTATTCCTTTAAGGTCAGAATTTTTTGGTATCGACTGGTAGAAGCTGTGATTCAGATTTCCCATTTTAAAATCTGTTTAATCTTGACAGCGCTGTGTATTTAACTGTGTCTTTTGGCTGCTATATTGTATGTTTTTTTAATAAAATATAAAGGGCATTTTAAGTTTGTGCAATTTGTTCTACAAAGATGCTACCAAATTTAATTAAAAAACAGAAATATATTAATTAAAAAAGGAAACATCTTCTTTTTTTTAAAGTTTGATGCAGAACATGTTCACTCACCCTTAAAGCCGTCTCATGGTCACAATTAGTAATGGATCCAGCAACACCGATGTCTCTAGCTCTAACAGCAATACCTTGTCTCGGTGGACGTCTCGTTTCAAAAAAGAAGAAAGAAGAAGGAGCTGTTTCCAACGGACTTACGCACTAAACTGTGTTTATAAGCTCACCTGTCAACGCAACAAATCTGCCAAAGAAAAAAAATCTGATGTTTTGCAATTTATCATCAAATTAATCGAGAAAAAATAGATCCTGTCATCCTGTTCCTCTCGTTTATCACTCAAATTATCCAAATTAGCATTGCTGTCTTCCTGTAGTTATTATCTTAAATAAATAAATACATAAATCCTAGTCCCACATGCTCACTTAAATGTTCTCGTTATCTGTTCAGATGTATGGATTGTCAAAAAATCTGAGAATTTCGAACATATTTTCAATTTAAACGAAAATCTGAAATATACATTAAAGCATATGATTTTAATATAGGAAATCAAATCAGTTTAGTCTGTCAGAGTCTGCATGTAGTGTTTTTAAATGTCCAGCAGGTTTCAATATTTAGTGACACAGTATGGAAAAGTATCAATACAGTTTGCCAATGCGTCGAAACGCTTTTTGACGCCTCATAACCCCATCACTAGTCACAATTGTATAACAAAAATCCAAACAAAAGGAGGTTTTTAAAACAGGCATCCCCAAAGTCGGTCCTTGAGGCCCGCTGTCCTGCAGGTTTTAGAGGTTTCCTTGCTCCAGCACAGCTGATTAATTGAAAGCTGAGCTTTAATTGAAAGCTGATTAACAGGCTTTTCCTCAACTGCAATCATCATCATCAGCTGTGCTAAAGCAGGGAAACCTCTAAAACCTGCAGGACAGCGGGCCTCAAGGACCGACTTTGGGGACGTCTGTTTTAAAATAATACTTTCTTTTTTCTTTGTCTTAAAGAAATGCTGACATTTAGAAATGGCCCAGCCAAAGTTATGAATTGAAACTGATTAGGGTGATGGCAAGACAGCCTTTAAAGCTTTTTATACCTGTAACATTAACTTTGTTTTTAGCTTTTATGTTATAATTCTACTGATTCTTCAAAATTGTGACCAAAGCGATATTCCCTTGAATAATGCATCAGCCCCTCCTTGACTGTGGAAATGAGCAGATAGCAAATATCTATGTTAGAATGACCCCTACAGGAAGCAGTTAGCTTAACTGCGCTTTTCTTTTTTTTCAGCTAATGTTAAAGATGTGAAAAACAGTTTTTTTGTTCTTCCTTTAGAAGTGGTGTCTTACTGCAACTTAATTAATTGGGCGACATTCAGATTGGGGAAGAATTCACCAAGAGGGAGATTGTTTACTTTTACGTGGAGGAAAACTTGTACCCTCCCTGATGTTGGGACATAAACCATGATAATAATTTTGGACATGGAGGACCAATGTCCATGTTTCATCTTAACATGTTAACTGGAGAAGAGGATGGAGTTCTGCTAATAAAATAGTGAGGGCTCTCTTCTTTGCTCTGCAACACCATACAGGATTTCTCTTTCTTTCCGTAAAGCTGCCCGGGGGTTCGCATTGGAAGAGGAAACCACCACGGAGACCCAGGCCCACAGTCCAGATCTCCAGAATGACCAAGGCTAAGTTGTGATGCTTGACGTTCCATAACTGAACTGCTGGAAAAATAAACCATTTGCAACACATTTCTCAGAGTTTAAAAACTTACAGTACAGAGGTGGACTGGAGGGGAAAATCACCTAAAGAAGCCTTTTTTTTTTTTTTTTTTTATATTATATATATATATATATATATATATATATATATATATATATATATATATATATATATATATATATATATATATATATATATATATATATATATATATATATATATATATATATAATATTTTTTTAATGATTTTTTATGTGTTTACTGATGAGTAAAGACAAAGCTAACAGGATGGATTGTATGGTACGCAATGCTACAATAATATATTTTGAGCTGTTGTTGAATCTTGGACAAGCAAGAGTTTAAACACTGATATAATGTTATATGCTCATTACATTTTGATGACCAAATTATGACCAAACGTCTAATAATGAATCCTCAAAGAGGGTAAAGAATCATTTAACTAAAGGTTATTGGTTCCCGCTTAAGCAAATCATTTAAAAAAAAACATTATTTGGCCAAATAATGTTTTATTCATCTCATGGATTTGCATTGTGAATTGGTGTGAAAACATTAAAATCGCTCTAAATTAGCGACAAAGATAAACTTTGGTTCTCAAACAAAAAAATCCATCCTAAACTGTGATATGGTTTTAAACCATGTTTTCCTACCTCTTTAGGTTTAGTCTTTTAGTTAGTTTCAGTAGTTTTTAGTCAGTAGTTTTTAACGGAAATATGTTTGACTTGGAGCTGAATGATTTCTGTTAATAACCTTATATTTTGAATGGAAGTTGTGGTGAATTTATTCCATGAATGCGCTGATTAAATAGTATCACAACATTGACAAATTAATAATCCACAGTGTTGAAGGTGTTATTTCATCTCATATTTGCCTATAGGTGCCATTAAAAGGCGTAAGAAAGAAATGTCTTAGATAAATAAATCAAACCAGCAGAATAATGAATCATTTTGGATATAACTTAACAAACCATTAACTTACTTTTGTCCTTGATTACTGTAGCTGTTGTCATAAGATTCATATCCCTGGTCATCATAAGCAGTTCCATAGCTGTCGTCGTAGTCCTGAGGAAACAGAAACTATTGTTAGGAACAAAGAGCACAGAGGGAAAAAACAAAAGGGGTGAAACTGATGCTACATGAGCTGCTGTGCTGTTATGTGTTTATTTATGCAGATTTTTTTTTCTTTCTTTAATTTGAATCTAAAATAGCTCATATTTCCCCCTTGAATTATGATGTGAAATTATGGATGATAAATTATTTAATATATTTGGTGTATTTGTTGTTTTTACCATCATTTAATGGGGAGGAGTTTTCTGCAAATGGTTTGAGCTAAACACAGAAAGGAAAGGAGAAATAGTGTGGAAAATATTACTGCTATTCTGCAGGGTAGCCATGACACCCTAAAGAGAAGCTCATTTCAGGATCTCCTTCTTGAGGGTAGAAGGTAGATGATCAGTAAATGAAAAACTCCGCCTTTTCTCTCAGCTGTCACTACAACAGACTTTGAATTAGGAAAACCTTGGATATAAATGTTCACATACTCTGTTCAACCAATCTCAGTTTGAGCCACACTAACCGCAGAGAAAGGGGTTTCCTTAAAGGAGAAGTCCGGTCATACTCAGGATTCATACATCTGAAAGTACTTATGAAATTATTATATACTGTCACTATTACTACACTACTGCCACCTACTGGTGGGTTAGTGACGTCACGGTGCGGTATCGGCTGTTGATCAAGTCCCAGTGTTGTATCTGCTGTTTGTCACAAAGCGCTATTATCCAAGTCATCTTGAAAACATTCTTCTTCCAAATGTTGGCTACATATTACGTGTTTTTTCTCTGGCCAGAAGTTCGATGGCAAATCCTCCCTCTTGACGTTTGCAATCCAACGACAAAGCCGTCCGTGGAGGATCAGGAATCGTGATGTCATGATCTTGGCGCTGATGGTTTGGTTTTTCCTTTGCTCTTTGCTCCCCTGTCTAATTGGTCCAGCAGCTGATTAATGCCGATCATTTCCACCTGGTTCCTCTGCTATTTATGTTGTGTGCTCTGTTTTCCTGATTGTGACCCGTTTCTGCCTTGTGGATCCCGAGTTTTTGCCGTGCCCCCGTCTGCTCTGTTTGTCTGATCTGTTTTGGACTGATTCCTGGATTCTACCGGCTTCTGAACCTTGACCTGTCTTCTAAATCCGGCTTTGGATTTCCTCTTTGGACTGTGCCGTTGATCGGTGTCGGCTGGCGCCTGCTTCGCTCGCTCTCTAGGAACTCTGGGGGCGGCGCCCGCCGCAAACATTGGTCTAACCTCCCATCTGGATTCGACTCTTTTCTCCATGAACGGACTGAACTTTGAATCCGGTCAGTGACTTTGCTTCAAGTCGCATTCAGCTCCACATCCAATCACTGACCTGTATTCTTTTATCTCTTCAGAGAATCGCCCCGCAGCTGATGAGCAGCCCCGCTCACCTGTTTGTTCATAATAAAGGCTTTGAACTTTCCCACTGCCTCTCTTGCCTCGAATTCTGGGTCCAACATTCTGAGATCATTACACGGAAAGGTGAAATAACGCAATTTTTTAATTTTACCCAATGTATTCCAACATCCAACTGCCATGCACGTGGGCATTGTCAGAGTCACTATAGCTCTGGTGAATTTCAATGGTGAAGTCCTCTGAAAATCTTTAATAATTGTTGTTGATTGCAGATGTGTCTAGTAGTTCCCATTGATTTTGCTTGTAAAGCGGGGAGAATGGCGCTAGGCTTACCGCACCGTGACGTCACTGCAGGAAGATGGCAGGAGGGAGGAGTTACTATATTTGGGCAAAAATGGCCGCTCCCAGACTCGGGGATCGCAGCGAAAATTATTGTTTTTATTTCTTAACTGACTAACGCTAAATTAAAAAAACATTTAAAGTTTAAACACATGAAAATCAAAGTAGAAAATATAATAATTTCTTTTCATTTCACAACCATGTACCATTTTATCTTATCCAATCAGTTAAAATCCTAAATAAGTATTTCAAAGATGCTTGGTTTGCTCCTCTTTTTTTTTTGCGATGGAACATTTTAATCAAATTCCCTGTTCTTACTCATAACATTGGCCGTTTAAGATTATTCTCTTTACTGTGTATTTGTATCATTAGGAAAAAGTATATATAGCTCAGATATATTAAGTAGTTTGAAAAACTGTCACAGTCTCTGGTTCTACATGTCATCAACACCTCAGTAGAGAAGCATTGAACATCTGTTTGCTCTCCTGGAATCCACTCAGCCCCCTGCGGTCCATCTAAGCCTTCACACGGATCATCATCAAAGCGAGCAAGTGCCGCGTCCATCCTAATGCGGGATAAATGGGTTACTTATGTTACTCCAAAAAGGCATCGACCCCACACATTTTTCAAACTAATCCCATCTGCCCCTTATTTGCATCGTCAGGAAAAATATCTGTAAGATTTAACAAGAAAAAAAATGTTCTTCCTTGCATCTTATTATGAAGGTCCTAATTCCTGATTAGAGATTTGTACTTGCCAAATGAATGTCTTTGAATCTGCTCTTTTATCTTTAATCCTCTAAAAACGAAGTATGTGATGCTGGGATGAAGTGAGGCTTGGTGAAACAGTTGCAAAGATGGATTTTCTGCTAAATGGACTTCATCTGAATAACAAACTGGACTCACAACACTGAGGCTGTTATAAGAAAGGTCAGAGCAGACTCTTCCTTCTGAGGAGACTGAGGTCTTTTGGAGTGCAGGGGGCGCTCCTAAAGACCTTCTATGACTGGCATCAGCCATCTTCTATGGAGCTGTCTGTTGGAGCAGTGGCTTATCTTTAGCTGAGAGAAAGCGGCTGGATAAGCTGATCAGGAAGACCAGCTCTGTGATTCGATGCCCTTTGGACTCAGTGCAGGAGGTGGGAAACAAAAGGATTCAAACTAAATTAACATCTCTGTTGGATAATGTTTCCCACCCCATGCATGAAACTGCTGCAGAACTGGAGAGCTGCTTTAGTTAAAGACTGCTGCACCCTAAATGCACCAGTGAACGCTATCACAGATCCTTCCACCCAGCAGCTGTAAGACTTTATAACCACCACTGTTCCAAACAACCTCAATAAGTTGTTACATTTATGCATCTTTTGCATAGTTTCTATCTTAGTCAGGTAAATAACATGTTTGAAAGGGCACAGAAGTGCATGTACTTCCTGCAGAGGATGAGGAGAGCCCACCTGCCCCCATCCATCCTCACCACCTTCTACAGAAGCGTCATAGAGAGCGTTCTGACCAGCTGTCTCACTGTGTGGTGTGGAGGCTGCAGCGCCTCAGACTGGAAGAAGGTGAGAACAGCAGAGAGGATCATGGGGGCTCTTTTCCCTCCATTAAAGACATTTCATCCCAGCACTGCGTGTCTAGAGCCCATAACATCATCAATGACCCCTCACCCCCCCACCATAGAGTGTTCTCCCTGCTGCCCTCTGGGAAGAGGCTTCACAGCATTCAATGCAGGCCCAGCAGGTTCTGTAACAGCTTTTTCTTTTCCCATCATATTGTTGAACTCTAAACTGGACTCTACATCACACTTGCAGCATTATTTTTGCACCACCAATGTGGCTGAAACTTTTATAGTCCTTTTAAATAGGACACAACTCAATGTTCTACTGCATTTTGCACCATATTTATTTTGCACAGCACTGAACTTTTTCATATTAATGCCCTTTTCCACCATCATGTTTAGACTGGTTTCTTTTTTCCTACAATGTTTACATTCTGATCACTGCTGGACTTTATAAATGGCAATATTCATTTCACTGTTCACTGCTCAATTCCCTGTTGTGAGCTGTATCTACTGAAATTTGGTTTTGTATACACTGCATACAAAATGACAATAAAGTTTGTATAAGTCTAAGTCTAAGGTTCAGACTGGTGGAGGACATAGGGACCACTTATAGGCTTTCTGCTTCATTCAATCTCTATTAAAAAATTCTAGTATTGGGGAGTGTTACCCTAGTGGTTAAGAGCAATGAGGTTGTGGTCTGAGAAGGTTGCAAGTACTCCAACAGCCTCACTCTGGTAACCTGACTCCGCCAGATGGATTTGCTCCGCATATCATCTGGAAACCTTCCGTTGAAGTAATTTTGGGAAGGGGCGAAATACTGGTTAGCTGATTGGCCTATGTTGGTGATAGACGGGCCAAATAAACCAATCAGATCAACGAAGCATATGACGTACTAACAGAGCGACGACGAAGAGGAGCCAATTGATAGATCAAACTCTTGCCGAAACCAGTTGGGAGAAGAGCAAAAACATATTTTCCTCTGAGAAAAGCCTCCAGAGCAGTGTTTTGCTCTTCTTTCAGTGAAGAAATACTCTGTAATTCCGATAAAACTTGCTTGATAGCCACGCTAATGCTAGTTTCATCGGCTGAAGCCGCCATGTTCTTTAGACTGAACTGTCGCGCTTCTCGTTGCGTCACACCTCAACCCGCCTCAAAGCCAACGCTGATTGGACGTTCGTTTGGTGAACGGCTCCAAATTTTCTTTAACGGAGAGTCTCCAGACTGATTAGCAAGTGTAACCTTGAAAGCGCGCGAGATCAGGATGGTCTCACGAGGCTATCACTCTGGGTTCCTGAGCAAGACCCTTAACCTTGCACTGGTCCCCTGTGCCACACAATGGCAGCCCACTGCTCCCCAAGGGGATGAGTCAAAATGCAGAGAACGAATTTCCCCATTGTGGGACGATTTAGAAGGGATTTACATTTTTTTTTTTTTTTTACATTTGTTGGCTCAACCCCTGACTTTATATTCTCTGTACTCTTTGTTGTCATATTAGCTTCATCTGGTACGTTCCTGTTCCTGGATGTGCGGCGGTCCTGGACAGAAATATTACCTTGGCTGCTTCCATCCACACCTTTGATTGCAGATGATAGAGTTGAATCAAATTTTCATAACCAGAAATTAGTTTTTTACTTTAACAGGGTTTATACAGGAATGAGAAACTCTAATTTAATGACTTTTAATGATTTTTAATGACCGTTTAATGTTACTTTCTGATCTTAAAGCAGTCTTTAACAGA